TGTTTGTTTTTTTTACTTTATTTTGATTTTGTTTTTCAAATTGAAGAAATCCAAGACAGCAGATTGCGCCAGTTAGAAACGATTCCATTCAATTCTACGACATATTACGCCAGTATTTTATGTTATTGATTGTGGGACGTGCTATGAAGCTGTCAAGTTACAGGGTGATTGGTCTCTGAATCTATTCCCCCCCCCCACCCCCGCTCTTACCCGTCTCAGAAGATCAAAAAATAAAAAAATGTCTGGTCTGAATCACGGCTGAGTCAGTTAGAGTTGGTATCACACACAAGGTAATTAGCATACCGAGGTGTTACTGTAGATAAGGGTATCTGTAAATACTATTAGACAAACGTCTAACGAGTGTATCTAAATGTCGAGAGTCGAGGGTAACATGTCGAGGGTCGAGGGTAACTTAAAAAATATATTTAAATAAAGTGAAAAATAAAAATACAGTATATATGAAATAAATTGCTGAAGAAATAAAGACAGAACTTTTTTTTTAAAGAAAAGGGGATGGCAATGTCTGTTTTATCCACTTGTCACGCGACGTTTTGGTCATAGAAATGATCTCCATTAACTGCATTTACTATACTCGTACGCTCAGAAGACTACAGTTACACCCTGCTTTAGAGCTAGTGGTCTAGTATTGCCCAGTTTCCAATAAATACCAAACAAACTAGAGAGAACTGTTTGAAAGTATCCAATGTTATCTTGGGTAGTCAATGAACAAACAGGAAGGCATTGAAGGCTAAGATAAGATAACAGACATGCCATACCCTATTCTTTAGTACTTCACATAACCCTATTTCAATCCACTGTGTTTACGTTAATTTCGTTTGCTTGGCGAGTATTAGAACAAGCCATGAAAACAATGAAAACAAAGATAGTTACTGGTTTATAATAATGTTCTACAGTCCTAAATGGAGATAATAAGCGTGAATATCGAGAAATGAAAATTGGCGTGCATGTGTCACGCAACGCTTTACTCAAAAAAAAAGAAAAGCTGGAGAAAGAAAATTCTCTCTTGATATCTTCAGCAATTTATTTCATATATACTATATTTTTATTTATTTTTTATTTTTTTTATTTTTCACTTTACTTTAATATATTTTTTAAGTTACCCTCGACCCTCGATATGTTACGCTCGACTCTCGACATTTTACCCTCGACTCTCGACTCTCGACAACTAGATAACGTCTAACATAACGACGTTAGAGAGGTTAAGCATGACGTTTACAGCAAACGGCAAACGGCAAAAATTAAAATGTTGTCGCCTCTCTTCAGCTGTGTGTACAGTAGAGTGAAACTATTTGTATTTGTAATGAATAGTAGGAGACGTTATTCCATTTTTGTGTGCTTTATTTACGGATTAGAAGAAAAGAACTCAAAATCAGAAGTTATCTATCAATAATTCTAATACGTGTTTGGGTGATAATTGATGAAATGACGGGTTATTAAATAAACGGAACATTTATCTTGCTAACACATCTGCGTGATCTCTTGATTGTATTCACACATTGTCGACTACAGCATTCACAGGAGATTAGCAGATCAGAATCGCTGACACGAGCCATGTTTATGTTTGAATGCTTTATAGTCCAGCGCAATTTCCATTACTACAGATATTTTATGTGTGTTCTATTCCTTTCATGAAATTACAGGTTTGCAGCACTTAGAGTTAATTGAAAGAATTCGTGAAAAGAGAATGCATAATACTCGTGTGAAAGTTCGAAATGATGTAAAAAAACAAGGTTATCACCAAGATTATTCAATTTCAAGACAAATATCAAAGGCCGCTTTAATCGGCTCAGACAAGCCAGACACCAGATAGTAAAGGGCTCTTGATTCCTGTTTCCGGAGCATGATATGATCAGAGCCCTGATATTCAAAACACGAATATGGTAACCAAGCATAAAAGTGAATTTGGGTCTCTTTCACCCCTACTTATTGAGTGCAAAACATTACCAATGAAGGAAACTTTACCCCAAGAAGAATTGCAACATTTGTTAGATGGCCTCGATCGGATTTAGGTGATAGTTCGGAACCGATGCGTTCTTTTTCAACAGATTACCATGCTGACCTATACTGTAGTGCATAAGTGCTCAAAGTATTGCGTTACTGGGCGTTACCAAGCTTCACATTTATAGTCCCGCCTGTCTTCTTCACACTGAGTTTTCCGCAATACTGTAGCTGCACTTTAGCTCACTGCTAGGAACATACCACGCACGGGTGAACGTTGGACATGTGGATAACTGTGATCCTAATTTACATCGCAATTCCTCTAATTAGTGGAGCGAAAATACTCGGCGTGCTAATGACAGAATCCAAGAGTCATTACTCGAACTTGAGGAACGTGGCAGACGAAATGGCATCGCGAGGTTATGAGGTTTGTGATCTCACTGAGTTGGTATCAATGTGTAACATTGGAGTTACATGTAAGACTGATCACTCAACACGCAATTTTTGTAATCGTAAGGTGTCGTAGGTAAGACCATGCACTTATTTGGGGTTCGGTAAGTTGTTTGTATGCTGAATATTAGGGCGATGTTAATTGGCGTAACTGTTCCATCACCGCGTTTGGAAAATTAGCGTGCTATAAAAGGCTCGGGGCTAGGGGACAAAAATATATTTTACAGCTATTATGGAGTTCTCATGAATTAATCGAAATACCTTACTTTATTAGACTGCCTAGGCCGCTAGAGGCCAGGCTTGTTTCATGTTCTGCGTTAGAAATTAAGTTGATTCAAGGGTCATTCAAGGGTCAATAACCACGCGGCCTGGGCCCGAGCGCGGTTCGCCAAAAGGATGAGGATCGAGGACAACCCGCTCCAGAAGGATTCTACTGTGGTAGTTGTGTGTAGTCATCATCACTATTCTCACTCCCTTTGTTTCATTTTTATCTTTTTCAGGTAACTTTAGTTGTCCCATCTACCATATCTTTTCCAGCGTCGATCTCAGTGCAGCATTTAGTTTACAAATACCCTTTCGACGAGAAACATGTAGAAAAGACATTAGTACCAATGTCGCATTCTCGATCGCTCTCGGAAATTGTGGATGATCACAAAATGTGGATGGATTTCTTTATCACCTCGTGTAGAGCTTTGATAACTTACGTTAAGCTTCATAGGGAAGAACTAAGCAAATTCGACCTAATGTTTCGTGACACTCCTCCAGAATGTGGAGCTATCGTCTCCGAGATGCTGGGTATTCCAAGAATCGACATCAGACCAGGAATGGTGATGCGACTTTACAAAGATATAAGCGTGGTGTCATATATCCCTGATATGTTCTCCTCGAACTCTGATAGAATGAGCTTTGTGGAACGAGTTGTTAACTTGATTTCTCATACTCTGACGTGGGTAACAATTTACCAATATTACGCACGCTTCGACGAACTAAGGAAAGAATTTGGCGTACAGGAACAAAGATCGTTCGAGGACTCTCTTAACAACGTAGAGGTGGTCATAATCACGGGTCATTTTGCTCTGGAATATCCTCAGCCAATTCTACCAGGTAAGAGCTATTATTCAAACAGTTAGAGGTTGTCACTTGGCGCTGGTGATGTGGAGACGGCTGATGTGGTATGATCGCTAACGTCGAGACACCAGTCGTCCATAAAATCTGCTCTCAACCAACACTGACACCGAGTTGAATTTTTTTTTACTCGTGTTCAGTCTTCACCTTTTTCATTGTCTGAGAAGGAAATCAACTTTTAATAACTAGATCTTAAGCATAACCTTTACCACCATGGTGGCTGCACGACTCATGCTGAGGAACTTTTTTTTTTTTTAATCTGTATATTTTACTGTAACAACATCTACACAAAAATGTTTGTTAATCTATTGTTTTAAATCAAAGCTACCAAACTAGTGGGACCATTGACAGTGAAAACTCCAAGTCCACTTCCAAGAGACCTGGAGCAGTTTATCATTGGAGCTGGAGACAAAGGGATAATCCTGTTTTCATTGGGAACACTCGGGGATGAAGTGTTGCAGAAACACCAGGTGGAAATGTTGGCCGAAGCTTTCGGGAGACTGGAGCAAAGAATCATATGGAGATTAAATGGTATGTTACGACATTATAAGAATAGCAGATTACGTTTTATCCTCAGGACACATGAATTCTAGCGATCTCGTCGACTGCAATCTATGAATCAAGGAGCTTTTAATTCGGTATTTTATCAAACAAATAAAGAAGCCTGGACAGTGCTCTGTTCTGTTGTAAAGCACGCAGGAAGTGGTAGAGCACGAAAGTGTAGGGAGAAACACGAGAAGTAGTCGAGCGTTTCTCCCTACTTCTTGAGTGCTCTACCGCTTCCTTAGTGCTTTACAACAGAACAGAGCACAGTCGAGGCTTCTTTGTTTGTTTGTTATAAAGAATCCATTAATTTACCCAAGCATTCGACTGAATTTTCAAACCGAACTTTATTTTCCAAACGAGGAAAAGTGGCGTCATTGTGCATCTGTTCTCTGATAAAGCACGCGAAAATACGCCAATCACAATCATTGTTAGGATTGTTCAAATAATTTGCTTCGCTAAGGAGACAAAAGTTGTCAATCACAACCTGAACTTAATTGAGTTAACCTTTCGGTTTCGGCTGGCTTTCGAGAGAAGAACGATTGCTTCAAAGTTCGGTTTTTAGCTTGATTTTTTAAATAAGGATCGAAAGGTTTCTAGTCCAGAGGAATCCGACCGCATTGGGGCTTATGAAAACGTGCACTTTTCCAGCGGAAATTACGAAACAAGGAGCTCAAAGCCCGCGGATTAAAATGGGAAATGCTGAGTTGTAATTGAATGGAACTACAGTTACTTTACGACTTGCAGCGAGATTGCGCGAACTAACTTCAAAGTTGGAAAGACTAGACTACTTCTACTGGTTCTACTTTGAGTACAGGAGAGAATATCAGAGCAAGCTTTAAACTGATCGCTCGTCGAGTGAGCGTTTTAATTGTCGAGGTTCACTTCGCTGAGACTACCGGAGATCGCTAGTAAGCAAAGGGGCGTTACCACATTGCATGTCATTGTGTTGTTTTAGCATTTATGCAAAAATAAAGCTTCCCGTCATAAACAGAGACAGCTCAATTGTTATTTTCTGTCGTTGTCTTCCTTAAGTATAATTTATAATTTATAAATTTGTAAGCCAGCTTACCGTCATCAACCCGCGCGTCTGTTCTCTGATAAAGCACGCTTTTTCAGCCAATCAGAGCGCGCGTTATATACAAACATTATTATAAAGCCTCTTATACTTGTAATGCTCTCTGAAACGATCGCTGGATGAAGGTCTTCTGTGTTTTTTTTTTTGTTTGTTTTAGTTTTTGTTTTGCTGTTTTTGCTTTGTTCTTTTTTCATATTAAAACTGAAGGCAGTTCCTAGCAACAAATGTTCTTTTCACTGACCTACTATTCACGTAATCTGACTCCACCGTCTCCATCAATGATACCTTTCGCTCTTCCTGATGTCGAGGAGTTCTTAAAATACGAGAGCAAGAATCCCGAACATCGATATAGATCCCGCTACTGAATTGACCGGATAAGCCGACCTCCTAGAAACAGGATCTAGATTTTTGAGAGACACGAATCTTCTATATAATTATGCATCAGTATAATTGTAACACTTTACTCCTGTAGCTTTGTAACTCTAGACTGTCTTCTTTCCTGAAGGCCATGTTCCAAAGGGTCTTCCCCCAAACGTCAAAGTTCTTCCATGGATTCCACAGAATGACTTATTAGCCCATAACAGGACCAAAGCCTTCATCTCCCACGCGGGTCACAACAGCTTATATGAGGCGGCTTTTTATGGTGTACCAATGATCTGCATGCCGCTTTTTCTTGACCAGTTTAGCAACTGCGCCCAAGCTCGATCAGTTGGCATGGCAGTTGGTGTTGACATAAAGACTGTGACTGGCGATGAAGTATACCAATCCATAAGGCGAATCATTCAAGAACCAAGGTATTTTCAGTTATAACTTTAACACCCCCTGCGTTGATGCAGCTAGGTTATCCGAAAGAGACTGACATTGACTCAAGCCAAGATATTGCCACTGCCCTAACAGAACCACCAGCTATGCAAGGCTAAGAAGGCTAAGGCCAGATCCTTTCTCCTAATGTTTGTGTGTGCATTCCTTTTTAGCTTCAAGGGTAATGCTACACGCATCTCGCGATTGTTGCGTGACAATCCGCGAACTTCCGTCCAGCAAGCCGCCGATTGGATTGAATATGTCCACAGACACAAAGGAGCCAAGCACCTAAGACCGGAAGTGTATAACCTCCACTGGTACCAATATTATCTATTGGATGTACTTGCATTCCTTCTAACTACACTTTTTGCATTTTGCATCGCAATTACAATGCTTTTCAAACTGTTGTCCAAGATTGTTACCAAGCGTGCAAAGGGCGATAAGATTTCAAAGCAAGAATGAGAGCTATTTCTAATGAGCACAGTTAAAAGATGCGGACAAAACTTTCGTTTGACACTAAGTTGTTACTGTAATGAGGACGGTGTTTAGAACATCGTGTAGGATTGTTTCCAAGCGTGCAAAGGTCGGTCTTAGCTCGAGGCAAGAACGAGAGCCGTTTCCAGTAAGTTAAATTTGTAGGCACAGGGGCAGATCCGGGATTTTTCTTAGTAAGGGGTGCACCACTAAGGCATGACGTAACTGACTGGTGAGGTAACCAAATTTCAAAAGCAACTACGAAGAAAAGGGCTTCATCTCAAGGGAGGTGGGGGGGGGGGGGGGGGGGGGGG